CAGTGAGGGTGTGCGGGGAGGTTCGACTATACCGAACCTTCTCTAACTACATTTTTACGGGGAGGGGGGGAATGAAGTGCAGGGTGATGTACACTAGTTCGGGATGGTTCAAGCGCATTGAACCTCTTCGAACCTTCTCGAACCACATAACTGCATGGATAGGAGTTAGTGTATGTATAGTACCTTCTACAGACTAGTAAACAACAGACAACGTATTCTTGTGGCATGATGAACGATGCTACCACTGCTTGCGCGCCGAGGGTTAGTTGCACACAAGAAATGGATTATTTACACAACAAATTTTGGATCACTAATGAAGTTTACATGCTCCGACTCAGATGGCCATTGTCCATCAAGCAGGGAGTGCAGGTACGGGTGGATTGATTGAGTGGTGGGGTAATACCGGTTGTAATCGAAGGTACCGTCGTCATAACTGCTGTCGATCGACTCATCCAAGATGTGGCAGAACATCAGCCCCATCTGCAGGAGGTCAATATTCTCAAGCACCCAGTTCTCATCGAGAGGTTGGTACATTGTTGACGTGGAGGGTAAATGGTGGTAATAACATTGAGTGTCTTTGGATGCACTCCTATCTAGGTCGATTAGTATTGGCTGGTGGGTTAGGGGATCAAAGCAAACGTTGTCAAGCTTCAGATCCATGTGAGCCAGACTGCAGGTGTCATGCAGCTCGTGGAGGGCTTTGAACACCCCATCTGCTAGGCCTGAGTAGAATGTGCACAACATATTTGTAATTATGCCTGTTAGCACTGCGCAATTTTTTATTCTATTATGCTTCCACAAGTGGTAAATTATGCTTAAAAAGTTCATGATGTGAATTACACTTTTTACGCATACCTGGTTCTCGTGGCGGGTTAGCGAATATTTTTCGCTTGCTAGTCAACTCAGATTTCTTAGGCGCTCTCAACCGCTCCAACAAAGAAACAACCGTGCTACTACTCGCCTCTGAAGTCGTCGTGGTGTCTCGTTCTTCGGTTGTTTCTTGCTCGTCGTTGTCAAAGGAGCTTTCTTCGGAGTCTATTTCAGCTGAAACATCACAGACGCTAGTCGAGGCACTAGTACTCGCCATGTTCTCTAGCTAGGCGCACGCACACGTGGCTCGGGCCACACCCTCGGCCGCGCCTACTAATCAAGGGCGCTTTTAGCCCAATTTATGCTTGAATTATGCTAATTCTCACAATACGCAATTATGCTGCAAATAATGCGAGCATATTCTACGCAGCCCTACCATCTGCAAATCTATCCACACCACCAAAGATGATCTCATGCACAAAACTGGATGTTAGAGCAATAATTCGCTAGTGCCCCAGACAACAAAGAAGCCTCAAGCAATACATAACTTCATGGGCTAACAGCTTAGGAATGTTGATTGTGTCCAACCTGCCGTGGGTACGTGTGAGACCCACAGTACCAAGTGTAGTATGGAAGACCTACAATGTGTGAGACCCACAGTACCAAGGGTGTAGGTACAGTATGTGAGCCCACCGTACCATATGTACACTATGTGAGACCCACAGTATGTGAGCCCAGTAATAAATGGTACAAATACAGATTTGGCTGACAGTGTGTGTTTGTGTTTGTTGTGATGTGATACACACAAAAAGACACACTCACCAAACAACTCAGATCCCAAACGTAGACAATAGGTACATAGCCCTTCTTTGCAAGACTTCAGAAAGCCTAGAAAATGGAGAAGAGGAGATAGGAAGAATAACACAGAAACATGGTATTAAATTTAAAAAAACTGTGACCCCATAGGTGAGTACAGAATGTTGGTGATAGTTGGAGAGCACATGAAGTTGGACACAGACAATAATTGGAACACAGTTTGACCTATATTCTATGGAGGCAATATTTCACGGGGCACCACATTTTGAAATGGTTATGAGCATGCCAAGCACCCTATAGCTCTGCTTTTACTGCAGTAGTGAACACAGTTCAAGGAGTATAAACCGCTGTCTGACACCAGTGAATGGGTGAAATAATTATATAAGTACCCCAGAGGTGAGTACCAATGTCTACTGGAGTAGCAATGTCTACTGCCCCTACACATCTGACGGTGTTCGGGGCATGCAACTGTTTGTTACACCGGCATCACCCTGTGGGCTAATGAGCCGGGTGGGAACTTATTAGAAGTGTAAAGTGTGCATCAGCATGGTGAAGATGAGTTAATGGGACCAGATACAATAGAAAAAACAAACCAATGCTCAAAGGATCATTCTGATCAAGAAGACCACTAGAGTGTATATGAAACATCACATCAACAAACACACTGCGAATAGAAGGGTAAAGTGCAGAAATAATAACAGGCCTTCAATCTATCATGTAGAGCATGCATAGAAACCAATACAAGTCACATACATACTGCCACCAAACTGAAAAAAATCACCACGAAAGAAGATAATGTCGATACTGGCTGGGTGAGCACTTATTAGAAGTGTACAGTGTGCATCAGCACGGTGAAGGTGAGTTGATAGAGATAGAAACAATATAAACGCAATAACAAAAAAATAACCGACGGTTCATTACGGTGATAGAACACCACAAGTACATTGGGAACGGCTGCGATGATTTTTTTCTCTCCACCAGTACAGTAGAAGCGTCTCTAGAAATGAGGGTTAACACGGGGAGTCTCTCACGTATATAGCTCTGCCGGGCGTTTTTTCTAGCTGGTGCAACAGATGGAGGTAGTCGGGAGCATGCGCCGCCCGGCCGGCCCAGGCAATAATGATAAGTATTTTCTGCGCATGCCTACCTAACACACAAGGCCAACCCCCCATGACTAGGCTGGGTGGTATTTAATGGCCATAAATACTCCCAAGGGTGACGCGAAGCGTCACTCCTCCAAGCGCCGTGTATACCGCACGCATATATAGCTAAATATCGAGAAACACCATAATGTCTAGGACCGGTAAGTATATACAAAAACCTTCACGCCGCCATTCTGCGCGACACTCCCGAGAAGTCGCTGCGTGGGATGCGCACGTATGCCAGATACGCGGAGCGCATCTGCCCAAGATCTTGATGACCGCGTCTTCTATTCCGTGCCGCCGCAGCCGACGTCGCTGCCCCGATCCGCAAATTATGCCCCGAATACGGCGCCGGATTAATCCCGACCGAGGATAACGCGTCTCTGATGCTACTGACGAGAACCTGGCGGGTCAGAGGCCGCCCGTTCCGCCTGATAAACAGCGGTCCTGGCTGCAGACCCCGCCCCTCGATAAAACTGAGGAGGGCGGCCACTGGGCACAGGTCGCGGTCCGTGCGTCCGAGGTGGACGGTGACCCCTGCGCGGAAAAGGTCTGTCTTGGACGCCTTGATTCGCAACGACACCATAGACGGAGCCTCCCTGGAGTCGATTGCTTCGTCTGTGATGGATAGGTGAACTCCTGGATCATAGCCTGTCAACGTCGGCACCGTCGCCTCCCCCGATCTTAAGAACCCGAAGAAGCAGGTACAGGCGACGGCCCACAGCATCCGAGGGGTGCTGCCTCGGCTGACCGTTCCCAAGCTAATCGGAGCGATCTCAGGGACGGTACTCGTTATTTGGGCGGCCGATGGTCGCTGCTTGCAGCCTCTTCACTCATTTTAGAACAGCCTGGAGTAAGGGCATATTTCCGAAGTCCGGCTGGACGTGTAGCCGGCGCTAGAGCGTGCTGCAGAAAACCCTGAACCAGTCGATCCAATCACGCGAGGTCGAGGCGGGGCGGGCTCGGCTCAGGTGCTGCGGTAACTCCGGCGGGATGACTGTGGGCTGAGAGGCCTCATGCGGTATATACCTGCAGGAAAAAAGCGGAGGTTATTGCGAGAGTGCATCCGCTGGCACATTAGATGCCCCTGAAGTATGCTGCGCCGAAATTTCGAAGTCGAAGCGTACGCTGGCATAAAACAGACACCTGAGGAGGTGACACAGGAGAGGGTCGCGCGCCGATTGTCGGTTTACGACCTCGTCAGGTGTGTTAATTGTGTGTGCGATTTCATACAGTTTTCTAAAGACATCTATGAAAAGGCCAGAATGTTTTGGAGTAGCAAACTATATATTTCTGGAAAGAATCTTAGGTACATGTTTATTGTGAACATACAATCTGACTGGTAGCTATGTCCGAAGTTGAACTGAAAGTAAAATCTCAAATATATGGACATGTTGGCAAATGAACTGTCATCCCTGTACACGCAGTATATATACATTTGCAATTCTATAAAAATTGCATATATTATGTTGAGTAAAATAGAAACACAAAACACTTTGCATATATAATTATAACACCGAGGGTAGTATGCAATTGTCCTAAGGATTAGTTATGATAAAAACAGTTCCACACAGATTTACTATTTTAAATGCAATTTGTAATACGATCAATCCTCTGATAAATCACCTTCCCACTCTTTAAGATGTTTTAGTCCCGATTTTGTAGAAGCGATTGCCAACAGGTGCAGTTATTGGTGACAAAGCAATGCTCACAGGAAGAGCTGCAATAGTCAGTCTTATCAAGAAATTTTGTTAAGAGTCCGACATTGCTACTGACTCGAAATTATCTTCTGAATCAAACGCTTCCTTTGCCTTTCCTATGACATAAGGCAGGCAGAATGAACCAGCCACACCGGTACAGACACCAAAAGCTTTCATTGCAGCAGGGGTAGCCTCAGCAGCGAAAGAAAGATATTTTTTCGCCAGACTTGTCACTGTGCTATTGAGAGCAACTACTTGAAACTCAAATTTGCGGTCTGATCCCAGCATGTACGAAATCAATATCATCTAACCCATTATACCTAAGCATGGTGCATGATTTCAGTCCCTTCACCAACACCTTCGTCTTCTTGGTCCTGACTGCCTCTTCCCATTCTCCACCCTCAAGTTTCTTGTACACCACATACTCTTGAACTGGCTCTGGGTTATGTGCTGGAGGATCCCAGCACAGCTTGATTCTATCGTGCCCTCTTCCAATCACTTTAACATTCAGAGGCTGGCCTGGAATTGTCTTGAGTATATCTGACTGTTGATTTCTGACAGTCCTCTCTCAAGAACTTCACTGGCAGCTGGTCGTACAGCAAGGCTGAGGTACTCAGCAGTGATTCCACTTGCTTCTCTTTGGATATCGAGAGGAATAGAGTCCTTAATAGCTTCTTGAACCTTGTCTTGGACTTTGCTTTTGGCCAGAAGATCAGCAAGCAGTTTTTCACAGTGCTTCTTTGATGCCAATGCATTTTGCTCGGTGAATTGATACAAGGCTCCTCCGGTGACCTTCTCTTCCCTGCCATTGCTTCTCCAACTCTGCTGCACGATATCTTGTTCTAGCTGATCCAGGAGTGGCTGGACTTCCCCCTCACTGGAGTGGAGAGGGTTAACATGACAGATTTCCTCTCTTAGAACACTCTTCTTTCTCGTCAGTGTCTGTTTGTGAATTCGTAACAGATTTCTCTCCCCCATTGGCAGGTTGCCTTCCAAAGCCTCCTTCATTTCCCTCTCGTACTCCCTCACCAGCTTGTAGGAGCATTCCTTCAGCTCCAGCCTCACCACAGCCTGCCAGCCCCCCCTGGTCCAGGTCTGGTAGGGCTCCTGGCCTGTTGACTGCCTCCACATACCCTCCAGCTAGAGCAGCCAGAGCTTTTCCGTTCACTGTAGTGGTCCCATCCACGCCCTTTTTTGGAGCAACATTCTGGAGGATTTGTTGGATGAGAGCGCCGACTGCTGCGTTGAAGGCTGGTTTGAGCTTGTCTTGCTGTTCCACTATGCCACGGATGATGTCTCTCTTGGCGGAAGGTATGGGGAGAGTGGCACACTCCATAGAGGGAAAAACACTGACTAGAGACTTGCCCAAGTCCGTGAGCTCTCCTGATTCAGATGCAAGGACACGTTTGTGAAGAAACTCGGTTGGCCCTACAACCTCACCTTCCCTGTTTGTCATCTTGAGACTGACGTCTCGCAGCAGCCGCAAAAAATGTGGGAAAAAAGCCCTCCTTGAAACTGACTCACCACACTGAGCAAGGAGGGAGGATGAGAGTTGGGAGAAACACCTCATCTTGTCGAGGTCCACCTTTTGAGGCACCTTCTTGGAGTTGTAGATAAGGAAGGAGCTTAGGAGTGTGGTGAGGGTGAGCAAGCTCATGGCCATGGTCTCAGAGGCTCCCACAGCATCTATACCCTCCGTATCTAGCAAGACTGTGGTAAAATCGTGGTACTCTAGGACGGTAGTTGCCATCCAGATACCTCGAGTGCAGGCCCGCATGCTGTGGCCCATCTTAAAGGCTCCAGGGCTGCCTGGAACGCGAGACGTGAAGTAGGACTTGCCTGAACGGTAGGGACCACAGATAGAGAGGATGGCAAGGGGCTTGTCAAGACTACGAAGGAGTTCAATGGCATCATCCACTAGCTTGAGGGTGTGGTTGTTGGGGTCTCGCTTGTGAGTCTCCAGTTGGCAAGAGAGGGGGTCCCAATTATTCTGACTGGAGATGACGAGAGGGATGGAGGGAGGGAGGGTCTTAACACCAGGTTGAGAGAGCTTACGGGGAACAAGACTCTGTGGGACACTTTCTGTCGCCGTTGTTTCTCACTTTTCTATGGCACTCGTGACTTGGGCAGTTTCCAGAGTTCATGTATAAACAACAAGTGGAATAATCATTTCTTCAAAATGAAAGGGGGATATAGGGATGGCTTGAAGCACCAAAAAGGAAGAAACAAGGGGTCATTACACAGCAAAGTTGCACAAAGCTACATGACACCTTCCCTATATCTTTGTTTGATATTATTTGATATTAAACTTTGCTTATAAACAACAAAACAAAGATATAGGGATGGTGTCATGTAGCTTTGTGCAACTTTGCTGTGTAGACCCCTTGTTTCTTCCTTTTTGGTGCTTCAAGCCATCTCTATATCCCCCTTTCATTTTGAAGAAAAGATTTTTCCACTTGTTTCCACTATTTTTAACAGCTTCTGGCAACGCTGCATTTATTGTTACAGTCACTCTGATGTTCATGGCTATGTTGTACCATTCCTGTATGCGCTACTTGTCTGTACAATTTGTACGCAACATGCACGCTCACTACATATGGAGTCCTCTTTTTCGACCATGAGCTTAGGAGTTGCGTTGACACTAGTCAGAAAGATCTTGTACAAGATCCTGCAACAGAACGCCTATATAGTTACTCAGGTACACACACTCAGAGACACATGACTAAATTCAAGTTACTATGTTACATACACTATTGTAGGAGGTTATGTGGCTATAGGTAGATCCACTGCATGTGTTATGACAGTACAAGGAGTACATGTAAGGCAGCACACTGCAGTGTTGCCCATTTGTGAACTATACTATTGGAGACTCTGTCACATTAAGCACCAATTGGCAAAAAAACGTGAACTGCTCTCCTTTTTATCAAATAAAAACAAATGATTTGAAAAATAATTTCGAGGAAATCATTGGGATGAAGGGTACTGCAAACCTTCGCCACACTTGGTATACATCGTGATACCTCTGGACGCAAAGCTGTCGAGATCAGCAAGTAGTAATTTGCACATTGGCTTGTTCACTTGTTTTTACAAATAAAGCACTGAATCTGTTGGCATCGTTCTTGGCAGGCTTTTTGCATATGATTGCACAAACATAGTAACAGACAGACACACACTCTTACAAATAGCCGTAACTGTGTATCATGCCGAGGGTTAACAAGAAAATGCCCTGAAGTTCATTAATCGGCACATCTTTATTTCTTGCATGAAAGCTATCTGTGCTGTGTTTACGATACGACCCACCTTGGCAACATCTTTAGTTGTCAAGTGGGGTTAACTTAAGGTGTGTAGCTACATACTTTTCTTTACCCAAGGAGAAACAACTGAAAGTTGAGGTAAGCACACAAGGTATAATGCAGACATCACTGCACATCATCTAGCCAATCCACAAGATATTTTGCAATTGTGAATATAAAAGTGAATGGTTGAGTGTTGGTAGACTAAAAGAGACAGACATGGTGGTAAAAGTCATTTCTCTAGCATATCTCTGATGTTGTCTGCCAACAGCTGATCCCCTGCCTCCTCTGCCGCAGAGATGAGGGCTCGGTACGTGGCCTCCTTCCCCCTCTTCTCCTTCCACACCTCCAGACACTCGCGCTTCTGGAGGCCGAAGTCAGGAGAGCTGTAGGCAATGGCAGTTTCTTGCTGTCGAGTGAGGTCCAGAAATGGCCCAAGTGTCTTCCAGTTATTGAGATGATCCCTGGCAATTACTGTCAGGGACTTGCGACTGATAACATCATCCAGTTTTGGACCACCTGATATTGAGGAGAATACAGGGATAAAGAGGGTGTATATAGGTATGGATCTGTGGAGAATAGAGTTAGCCAAGGCTGTCTGTGTCCTGGGTATAGCTACAAGGGCTCTGAAGTCTCTAGGCATAACGTCTAACTAGCAGTGCAGGTCATGTCAGTCTCTCTGCAGTGGCCGTTGAAGAGCTTTCCACGTCTCTCTATCGTTACAATGTTTTCCTAACCCCCTAACCCTCTCTAACGCTACTACAGTGAAAGTATTTTCTTCTCGTGGGAAGAATCACTCCATATTGTCTATCACCATTCACAAGTGACATCTTTGCCTCGGTACCAATTATTGATGAACTTGCTATCTGATGCATGTTAGCTACAACAATCTAAATGAAACCACAGAGAGAGAGAGAACTTACTATGTTTGGGGGGTGGAATTGCAGATGGAGAGGAGGAGGGAAAAGTTCGAGGTAGGGGACAGGACCCAGAGGAAGGTTGGTCTATGGATATGGAAGGCTGGGAAGATGTCCTAGTGCAAGGTAGATCAGCAGGGGATGGTTTGGTGGCTACAGAAGAATAACAACGTAACGTTCAATGTACTGAAACTGAAAGCTCACTGGGAGTGGGAAGTGGGTTGAGAGATGAGGTCTCAGTAGGAAGAGAAGGGAGGTCGGGAGATGATGGAGGTGAAGAAGACTCCATAGGTGTAGAGCAATGTTGTTCAGTAGAAGAAGAGGTTGATGACTGAGAAGAAGGGGAGGAGTTCCATGACTTACAATACTGTACAGTGTATGTATGCTGTCCTGCTGGATAATGAAAGAAATGCCAACAGATCAGCACTGTACCAGTGGGGAAGAGCTGCTGCAGAAGATCTAATGCTCTCAGACAACTGCCATCATCGACGATCCTCTCAGTCACGTAAAGAGCCCATGCCACCAGAGTCCAGGACGGCGCTGGATGCGAGGAGATGAAGGAGTGACTTAGGGCCAGTTTGCACTCTTTGTCACTGGTACCCTCTTTTTCGATCCTCTTCAACTCAGATTTTGGTATGTTTATATACTTCACCAAATGTCTTCCAGAGTTGATCGCTTATTATGTCTAGAACTTTTGATAGGTTCTCTAGAGTGAGACTGGTCTCTGGGAACACAATGGGAGAAAATAAATGGAGTTCGTAGTAACGAAAGAGACAAACAAACAACAACTGGGTGTTTATTATGGGGAAGGAGTTGGGTTAGGAATACAAAGGGGGAGCTGTTATGAGTGAACAAATTGCCACAGAGCTTCCTGGGCATTTTTTGACAATTGCCATTCGCCTCAAAGTGGCAAGGTTCAATGCCAGCCATGATTAAAAAAATGCTGGAAGCCATATCCAGTGTGCTACAATGCCAGCCAATAACAATGCATGGTTGCTAAGGTACATACCAAGTTGGTATGTCCCACCAGGAAGTACTAAGTACACTGGCCAGGTGCACAATCCTCTAGCATTACAACAGGTTGTGTTTGCTGTAACCACTATTCCAGTTTGCCTCAGTAACCACTATTCCAGCATTGCAAGATACCAACCTGTGACCAAACCACACCACAATACTCCCCCCTCCAAATTGTTAGGGATGATGAGCGGAAATTTTATTCTGACAAGCTAAATAGGGAACTGTTAGTGATGCAACATCAACCAAATGGCAACCAAGGATTCAAAGGAAATGTTACTAGACCCACCTGGTGAGACCGTCACATGACTCCTTTATGCCTGTAATGCCTTCTCCTCCTCCATATAGTACAGATGACTCCGCACTACTCTCCAGGAGAGGCACTCGGAGATATTGTGAAGAAGTAGACGTAGAAACACCAGTTTTCGTGTCCTCCGCTGTCGGGTTGGCAGCAATCGTACCTGAGTCTCCTCATCACATCATCGGAGACACCAGACATGGTTATACTTCAGGCCCCACGACCCCACGCATCTCCAGTCTTCGATTGAGACGTACGTGACACAAGATTGTTGATAGTTAGTGTAGGGTCTTATACAGAGTAGGATTAAATAATACTACAATCATCAAACATCACTTCAGCAACACACGTCATCATGGAGGAAAAAAAACATGAGGACAACTGTAGGATCCACCATGTCTTTTAGTCTCATAAACATGTCAACAACAACTCTAGCCACATGCCCTACCAGTGCGGGTTCTGCCAAATGTCGTATCTTATCTGCAGCCTCTCTGCCTCCATACCCTCCATCATATCAAGAACAACATAATCCGTCTCCAAGAGGCCAGTGGGTCGCGGCCTATGAAGTACTTAAGAAGAGCCATGATATTGTTTTGTATCGTCTCCCCAGAACTGACTCTTAATTTCATGCCGTTTGCTCCAATGAACGACCCCACAATTTTTCTCCTAGACCAATAGTTGCCTCACCTTCCTAACAGCTTTCTGGACATTGTTCTCTGGCAACCCACATACCTATATACAACCAAAGAAAGACATTCTCTCCTTAAACTCTGAGCTAACCAACACAGCCACCTCGGATACAAACGTTTATATGTTTGCAAAACTGCATTAGCAAACAGTGTCCGGATTGCTTTAGGGCAGAAATAGGAGATGATCCAATGCAATATGCAGTTTAAGAGATAGGAGCCTTGACAATTATACCTGTGCAAATGAGTATGCTATGTAGCTAGGAGAGTGTTCATTTTGATTTGTTTGGTAGATCAAGGTCAAAGTCAACAGTCACACATCACTAATGCACTTATTGCTGCAACATTCACGACAGCAAAGAGCAACCAATGCTGTATGATGAGACATGCTGGACCAGGAGCTGGCGATACATTAACTAAAAGTGAAGAGTAGTGAATCAACATTGTTGACCATCCTACTACCCATCTGATGTACTTGGCTTCCTGTGCCACTGAAACCACTTGGGAAATACATCTGGTAACTAGTTGCACAATATAAGTATGCTTGACAAAATCTTTCTCTTACAAGCTTGCAGAGCAGGCCAAATGCAGTAGTCACAAGTTGCCCTCCCTCGTTAATGAGTTCAACCATGTTGTTGTATATCTACTTCCGTGCAAGAACATGAACTGACAATATCTGTGGAGGCGCATTGCATGGAGTGTGGCTCAAGACACATAATACGTAAGCTAAAGTGTTTGACTTCGACAATGGGTTAATAATTACTTGACCATAATACTACTTCTGCTGAATTTTGTCAACTCTGATTTTAACTCATGTAAACTAAAGCTAGCTAATACCTACGCTGGAATTCATATAGCAGTTGAGCCTATAGCGTTCACTCGACGCACACCTCCCCAATACTGGCATCTCAAATTTTTCCTCGTAGAAGTCAGGTGACGAGGGGCCAGGGGAGGTCATGGCTGGATCGCCCCCAGGGGCCGTTTCAACAATATCCAGTCTAACTCTCAGGGGGCGCGATTACTTTCTTCGGGCGCGATAACTTCTGGGGGCGCGTAACTTTCTCCGGCGCGATAACTCTCATGGGGCGCGTAACTTTTTCGGGGCGCGATAACTCTCATGGGGCGCGATAACTTTATCAAGGGCAGGACGTTAGTGTCAGCAGTTGCGGCCTGGAAAGAAAATTAACACCATAAAAAATGCTTACAAGCCATACACCCAAGCGACCTGTTTGGCAAAAGAGTCCAAGCGGCTCATATTAGTTGATTACCGCAGGGTGATAACCCTGGTGAATTATGATGGCTCCATCGCACTATACCCGATTGGAAAATTCTGAAAATGAAATACAGTGACACGAAATAGTTAACAGGAATTGCTAAAAGCAAAGAAGTGAAAGCCTCACTCACTCGAACTGCTCTCTCGAAATTGTGTTGATCCTACAGACATTTGCACTGTTTTTCGACAAAAAATTCGTGTGCTAACACCGCAAATTAGAGCCGTCGACGCTGATAGCGCCTTTTGATGGGCAGGAGATTTCCACAGTGTATCGTAGTGGGTCTATTTACGTACATCATCGGCTCAACACCCTACTACTGTGAAAAGCACGATAAGTGTAAGTATAGCATGGAGATGAATGCACACACATATTGGCATTCTATGCTAAGAACAAACTCACGTCTGCAAAAAGGCACCAATTTGCAATGCTGACAGCAGATAACTGGTATACTTCGATATGAACTACGTGTCAACCAGTTTACCACACGACGTAGATACAGGCGGTGGTGACTACACAACCATATCGTGACCATGTTATATTCCCCACTACAACACAGGACCGGTAAACAAGGTGACATGGTTGAAGCATGTGGTTAGGGTGATAGCCTTCTGTGTAATCTTATTAACAATTCCCCGTCACATGTGCACAGAAAGAGACATCATCTGATGGTATCACATTGCACACGGAGCCTACTGCATTTGACGATGAGGGCATTTCTCGCAGTGAGTTGTTTGGCACAATAGTAGGGCAGACCCTAAAGTATCCTGGTGTGTAGCAACAGGTTCAGCACAGTAGTGCGTTCCAATGACTTAGGCACCGAGCACAGACGCATTTTTTACCAACTCTTCGACCATCACCTACCACATAAATTCAATGTCAGTCAAACAGGTTCGTGTTTGACAAGTGTGGCAGCAGCACCATACTTCATAATATCTCCACTCCAATGTCTCTTCCAGCATAATAGGAGGCTGCTGATATATATATCCATCATTAATATTGATGATAGTGATTCTGCCGACGATAAATCCTTCAGAGAGCCCTAGCTCTCAGTAAAGACGCGGCAGCTAGGGAGGCATCTGCCAGGACCGAAACGTCAACATTTGAAGAACATAATAATATACAGTGGACAGTGGTGCACAGTTCCCTGAAGGCATAATGACTGTGTATGTTACACTTTTGCAGCACAACTTGCTGATATAGTAAAAATGTTGCGAACACAAGTTAGAGCAGGTGATCCCCTCTTTTGTATTATAGTGAGAAGGGGATATGTTTTAGACCGACGCCCTCCAGAGAGTTTGCCGGTCATCTTTCATCCAGCAGGAGTATAGTGGTGAGTTATGTTGTTCACCTTGATCAGCTCTAACTTGGTTCCAAGCTTCTGACACCAAATAATATTGTGTTGTTTATTACAACCTTTGCAGGTTGAATTCTTAGGAGAGCAAGGGAGTGATAACGGTGGTCTTACTCGGGAATTTTTGACCTTGTGGCTTGCCATGCTTCAGCTAAGTATTTGGAACAAACAGGGTGCTTTAAGCACAACTCAGTCGCTTTTCAGGTAGAAAAAAGAACGGCTATATAGCTAGCAAAGCCTTGAAAACTCACTAAATGGCCCATTATTAAATTTATCCCCAAAACTACAGTGCATGGCTCTGAAGATGGCTGTGTGTTTTGTACTAAATGGAGTAATTTCACTGAGGATGGTGTAAATTTTCACCTCGGTCAACTTACAGCAATGGGTCTCATTCATGGGGGAGCGGTAATGCGAATATTTGCACTTCAGTTTTCAGTACTGAGTGCAGCCCTCTGAAATAATTGTTGACATTACATGAGGTTCCGAGATTCAAGTGTCCGTGAAAAATATTATTTAAGGTATTAATTAGGTATTAATAGGTGGTCAGAGCATGGTCGGTTGGTAAATGATTTCTCCTTTATCCATGATAGATGGCATACCACTGTTCATAATTATAATTCATGTTATCTTTTATCAACAGATACAATCCATGGTTAATGTTGACAATTTTAGAAGTTTCGCAAATGAAATCTATGATGAGCTTAAAAGCCTGTATCGAGATTGCTAATAACTGACATAGGTGATGTAGTAACGTGCAGTGCTCTTCATCACGTCATCCTCAAGACTCCCCCCCCCCCCCCCCCCCCCCCCCCCCCTTTGTTTTTTTGTCTTTTTGTTGTTTTTTTTTTTTTTTTTTTTTTTTGTTGTGTTTGTTGTTTTTTTTTTTTTGGTGTTTTTGTTGTTTTTTTTTTTGTGTTTGTTGGTTTTTGGTGTTTTTTTTGTGGTTTTTTGTGGTTGTGGGTGTTTTTGTTTTTTTTGGTTTTTTGTTTTTTTTTTTGTTTTTTTTTTTTCTTGTTTTTGTTTTTGGTTTTTGTGTTTTTGTTTTTTTTGTTTGTTGTGTTTTGTTTTTTTTTTTTTTTTTGTGTTTTTTGTTTTTTTTTTTTTTTTTGTTTTTGTTGTCTCTGTTTGTTGTGTTTTGTTTGGTTTTTTTTTTTTTTTTGGTTTTTTGTTTTTTTTTTTTGTTGGCGTTATTGGTTGTGTTGTGTTTTTTTGGTTGGTTTTTT